GTCGGTACATACATCTCTATTACTTTGTCTTAAAGCTTCAGAGGGGGTAGCTTTGAAGATGATTATTATAAAACAAATATAAAAATGGTAACATAAAACAAATAATTGTTGAAATAATATAAAGTTATCAAAAACACTAAAAATATTAATTATGAACTGTATATATCTTACCATACGGTTGAAGCACATATTCTGTTGTGTCACTATGTGTTGGTCCACTTGAAATACGTTGCGAATGAGATTCCATTTTTTTGAACTTTAAAATTCTTTGAGGTATTGGATGGAGTTCGGAATGGGTGAACCCCCGATTTTCTTGTCGCTTGACTTACTATATTTTGAAGAGCTGATTACGTAAAAATTATAATATAGATTGTAAAATGTTTCGAAATGAGTAAGCTCTAGCGTAGCTAGATTCACACTCGACAATGAAAATAACCAATAAATATCGATTACAGTCGATCAATTACTATATTACATGGTAAAATTACAAGCGACTAAATCATATTTAAAATATCATGCTGTATGGTAAAAATTGTTTAAGCTATTTTATATATTTTCATGACTACTTATAGCATCTGTTCTTTTAAAATAATAAAGAATCATAAACTGCGTAACATATTTTAAAATGTTGAAATTTTACTATACCCTTTAGTAAAATTAAAAAAATACATTAAAAAAATATATTACATATCTTATTATGACACATACAAGTAAATTAAAGAAACTTATGTACAATTCTTTGAAATACTATGTTGTCCCACTATTATCATGATTTTCAGGCTAAATTCTAAGAGAAAAAATATATTACATATCTTATTATGGCACATACTAGTAAATTAAAGAAACCCATATACAATTCTTTGAAATACCGTGTTGTCCCATTATTATCATGATTTTCAGGCTAAATTCTAAGAAAAAATTCTCTCTGTGTATCGCCGGCATTGCACACCTCGAGGAGGTTACACGGTTAAGCCTGCGGCACACGATGCTTGTTTTCCTGCTGGAATGCTAGCTGAATTAGAATCTTATCATCGTATTGGATGTGATACTGGGCACTGACAGCATCGCAGCCAATACGGTGTCAAGATTCTAACTCAGCTAGCAATCCAGCAGGAAAACAAGCATCGTGTGCCCCTGGCTTTAGAGTTTGAACACATGTCGTGGGTGCGCGCGCGCGAGCATGTGCGCGTGTGCGTGTGATGTGTGCGCGTGGGCGCGTGTGTGTGAATAATAAATAATGTCTCATAATACCACTAACCACATATAAATAATTTTCTCAATAGATTCTTTCCATACGGAAGTTATCGTTTATATTTCTGTTAAGAATTTGTTACCTCTTCTACAGCGGGCGCATGTGTATGCTATTTTTGCGATTAATTAAACGAGAAAACTTTGTGAAAATTCACTTTGTTTCTGCGAGCGATTGTGCGTGAGACAAAGAAAATTACAATATGGCGACTATTTTCGGTGGGAATTCTTCCGCAGTGATGGGAGCTGGCAAAAATTCGTCTTCTCTAGGAAACTTTGTGCGCATGCGTAACATGACGTAGCAGCTCGATTTAGCCCTAGTTTCTCAACTCACGGTTAACTCTTAACCGAAGTTCAATTTATTTCTCATCTCTTTCCAATTCGAGAATTGGAAAGAGACAATGAATAAATTGAACCTCGGTTAAGAGTTAACCGTGAGTTGTGGAACTGGGCCTTAATAAAGGAGCAATACGGAATGTGGGTTTTGACGAATAAATTATAATTTTCATATATTTTCTTGATCTAGGTTTAATATATCAAAAAATACAGCTTTTAATTGCATTCAGCTCAGTAATAAAACATCAATCTATTATAATTGCACAAGTATATCTAGTACAATATATAGTTTCAATTTTAAGAAATTTTGTAGGTATTCAATTCGCGATTGTACTACATTAAATCCAACAAGGACGTAAGGCAAGAATCGATCATCTCAAATTATGTAAAGAGTAAACAGTGAGAATTTACTGGACTGTTTCGCCTTCTGAACGCATTGTCAACTTTACACGTCAGTGCTCCTGTGTCTGACAGTATTCAAATGTATCTCATGGAAAAATTATAATTACTGGAAAATTTCCATCTATATACATACACATTATATCTCGTCAAAAATTATATTTTTATTCTCATCTTCTTTCATCAATGATTCGTCAATATTAGTAACAGTAGTTATAATTGCTTTCTACCTATCACATTGTCAATTGTGGTTTGTTCTTTACTACTGAGTCATTACATATGCGAGCCTAAAAAATAAATAATTTTTTATGAAATGTGTTATTGTATATTACAATTATCTACTAAAATATGATTACGAGTATTGTGTTGGAGAAAAAGTTCTGCGGAATTTTGTTAAATCAAAATTATGTACAGAATATATTAGTTGCAAAATTTTCGAATGATTGCTCATAACTCACCGGCAAAAATCATCGTATTGCAATTAATAAAATAGATTTTTAAAGCTGAAACGTTGCTCCATGAAGTGGTGTAATTGTCAATTTAAAAAAAAAATAGAATATATGTACATTTGAGTTGAAAAAGTGATATTAATCTCCTTTTTTCTATTGTGCAATAGTTATATGGGGGAGGGGGGGGATAATAGTATCACATACTTAACTCAAATGTACATGAATTCTATTTTTTAAATTGATAATTATATACCACTTGATGGAGCACATTGCAGCTTTACGAATTTGTTTTATTAATTGCGTTATGATGATTTTTATAACGTTTTCGACTGGGCAAAAGTTAGTGCGCACCAGTGCGCACTCAGTTCACACCAACACTGAACGAGTTCCATGGGTTGCACTGAATAGTGCAAGTTCAAAAGAATATGCCAAGATTTTCAGTGCTAAAGCTGAAGTGCCACACTCATTAAATCCACACTCATTTTTGTTCACTTTGAAGCAATGTTCAACAAAATGATACAAAACTACACTAAAAGATATTAAGAGTAGGGACATGACCCCGTTTTCAATTCAACTGCGCAGATTTGCTTGTCCCTATGTATATCCTTAACTGTGATAAAACGTGCACTGAACTGGCACCGTCAAAATATCTCGTGCCACTTAGTGCGCACTGAGTGCGCACTACGCGAGTGTCGTGCGATCAAATGAACACGTGACACTAGCCAAGTGCGCATTAGCACTGCCAATCGAACACGCTCTTGACACTGAGTGCAGCCAGTGCACCCCAATCGAAAACGCTATTAATGTAGTTATGAGCAATCAAATTCAGAATGCTCCTTTTTACTAAATTCGTGAATAACTCAAGAACAAAAAATCGTAGAAATATTTTTTTTAACGATTTTGAAAAAATTCCAAATTTTCATAATATAGATAACCGATAATTTTTGCAAATTTTTTGGCACGTGACAGACCCATGAAGTGAGGAGATAAATTTCCCATTCATTCATCTCATTGCTTTCTATATATAAAAATGACAAAACCCACATAAATTTAAAAAAATACAGTAACCGTTCGAAAGTACAGATTTCAAGCTTTGAAACACTTTTTAAATTTTAATTTTAAACATTCTTAACAAAAATATTGTATTTCCAATTTGAGCTAATAAAGTACCGCAGAACTTTTCTTTCAATTCAATATATAACACAAATAAGAAGACAAATGAAAATTTATTAATGGATTTAAACGTTTTCTCATGAATGACCTGATTTAACAAATTCGCATCTTCGAAACGATCTTAATAATGATGAATATCTATATTTCTATATATAAAAATGACAAAACCCACATAAATTTAAAAAAATACAGTAACCGTTCGAAAGTAGAGATTTCAAGCTTTGAAACACTTTTTAAATTTTAATTTTAATCATTTTTAACAAAAATATTGTATTTCCAATTTGAGCTAATAAAGTACCGCAGAACTTTTCTTTCAATCCAATATATAACACAAATAAGAACACAAATGAAAATTTATTAATGGATTTAAACGTTTTCTCATGAATGACCTGAATTAACATACATATGTGTAATAACATCATCTTTTTGCGAAAAGCTCTTGTCACACACCAAACATTCATACTACTTTTAATAGCTATGTACAAATTTATGAACGTTTAGGTTATCTTTGGAAGTAAAGCTTATGCCGCAAACCTAAAATCCAGCATATTTATAAGTACAGAAAAGTAAAAATAAAAAACAACCAAATGAGAAATAATTGAAAAGAACCCTAACGATAATTTGAAGGTACATACATACCTCGCAAAGATGTAGTTCCTCATCTCTATGTATTTTTGTATGAGTAATATCGAATGGAATATAGATAAATGTAGTTGGATATTCGTTACATTTATACGGTTTTTCACCGTTGTGCTTCATGTTTATATGATAATGCAAACTTTGTTTTGTTGCATAACAGTTCTCACATTGGGCACACTTGTAAAGTTTTTCATTGTTATGTATCTCTCTCTTATGCCTGTCTTGATTCGATTTTTGACTATAAAATAACGGTAACAATATTAAACATTTGTTACCAATTTAATTAAGCATAGAGATTGTAATATCAAATAATTCTTCTAATTTTTGTTACTCACTGAAGTACTCACCGAAATGATTCATCACAAACCTCGCATTGATATGGTTTTTCACTTGTATGAATTCTCTCATGCCTATGCAAATCACCATTATGTTTAAACGTTTTACTACATATTCCGCATCTGTACGGTCTTTTAGCGTTGTGCTTTGCATTTATATGACGACGCAACACTCGTTTTGACGTGAAACTTTTCTCACATTGGTCACACTTGTAAGGTTTCGCATCGATATGTGCCATCTGATGCGAGTTTAGATGACATTGTCGACTAAAAAATGATGGTAGCAATATTAATCATTTGTTACCAATTAAATTAAGGCATAGAGATTGCATTATGAAATAATTCTTCTGATTTTTGTTACTCACTTAAATGATTTATCGCATAATTTGCATTGATATCGTTTTTCATCTGTATGAATTTTTTCATGCTGATGCAAATAACGTTTTGCCTTAAATGTTTTGTCACACACTCCGCATATGTGAGATTTCATTTCGATATGTACCTTCTTGTGCTCGTTTAGATTCGATTTTCGTCTAAAAAATGATCGTTGCAATATTAATCATTTGTTACCAATTAAATTAAACACAGAGATTGCATTATTAAATAATTCTTCTGATTTTTGTTACTCACTTAAATGATTTATCACAAAGTTCGCATTGATATGGTTTTTCACTTGTATGAATTATTTCATGCTTATGCAATTCACTTTTTCTCTTAAATGTTTTGTCACACACTCCGCATCTGTGAGATTTCACTTCGGTATGTACTACTTTGTGCTCGTTTAGATTCGATTTTCGACTAAAAAATGGTCGTTGCAATATTAATCATTTGTTACCAATTAAATTAAACACAGAGATTGCATTATTAATTAATTCTTCTGATTTTTGTTACTCACTTAAATGATTTATCACAAAGTTCGCATTGATATGGTTTTTCACTTGTATGAATTATTTCATGCTTATGCAAATCACTTTTGTTCTTAAATGTTATGTCACACACTCCGCATATGTGAGGTTTTACGTCGGTACATACATCTCTATTACTTTGTCTTAAAGCTTCAGAGGGGGTAGCTTTGAAGATGATTATTATAAAACAAATATAAAAATGGTAACATAAAACAAATAATTGTTGAAATAATATAAAGTTATCAAAAACACTAAAAATATTAATTATGAACTGTATATATCTTACCATACGGTTGAAGCACATATTCTGTTGTGTCATTATGTGTTGGTCCACTTGAAATCCGTTGCGAATGAGATTCCATTTTTTTGAACTTTAAAATTCTTTGAGGTATTGGATGGAGTTCGGAAAGGGTAAACCCCCGATTTTCTTGTCGCTTGACTTACTATATTTTGAAGTGCTGATTACGAATATAATAATGAAATTTGGCGACATGGTCATTTCCAAGGTCAAATATTTAAAAAAACGACTTTTTCACGTTTTATCGACTTTCTACGCTAAGTGATTCATCCCTCCTCTCTGCTTAGGGGCACACTAATTCCACGCAAAGCGACTTTCACGCCTCTGCTTAGGGGCGCACAACTTTTACTCGAAGCGACTCTCACCTTGTGACTTATGGCGACGTGGCTTATGGCGACATCCGTTTTGAAACCGAAAACATTACCTTTAAAATGACATAAAGAAAATTGTTCTAGCTTACCCAGGAGCAGAGTTATCAGGTTTCAAAGTAGAACTTATTTTTTTGCAAGATATTGACTAAGTATACAGTACTAAATATCTATATTTCGGGTTCAACTCCCGACCGAAATAATATTTTTCACAATAAATAAATTTATTTACAAACGGCAATCGCGTTGTGCACGTGTCAAGGAAGTTGCACGGTTAAGCCTGCGGCACACGATGCTTGTTTTCCTGCTGGATTATTAGCTGAATTAGAACCTTACCATCGTATTGGCTGTGATACTGGGCACTGACAGCATCGCAGCCAATACGGTGGCAAGATTCTAATTCAGCCAGCAATCCAGCAGGAAAATAAGCATCGTGTGCCGCTGGCTTTAGAGTTTGCACACATGGTGTGTGTGCGCGCACGTGCGCGTGTGTAAGGAATAAATGATAAAGTCTCATAATACCACAAACAATATAAATAATTTTCTGAATATTTCTAAATAGTTATTTTTCAATAGTTCGCAATAGATTCTTTCCATACGGAAGTTATCGTTTATATTTCTGTTAAGAATTTGTTACCTCTTCTACAGCGGGCGCATGTGTATGCTATTTTTGCGATTAATTAAACGAAAAAACTTTATGAAAATTCACTTTATTTCTGCGAGCGGTTGTACGTGAGACATGGAAAATTACAATATGGCGACAATTTCCGGGGGGAATTTTTCCGCAGTAATGGGAGCTGGCAAGAATTCGTCTGCTCTAGGAAACTTTGTGCGCATGCGTAAAATGAGCATCTCGATTTAGCCCCAAGGTGCGCTCCGTATCGCGCATGATGCGCATGATGCATCCTTTGTCCTTGTTTAACATTTGGTGAGCAACAAGGATAAACGACGCATTATGCGCACCATGCGAGATACGGAACGAACCCCAAGTTCCACAACACACGGTTAACTCTTAACCGAAGTTCAATTTATTTCTCATCTCTTTCCAATTCGAAAATTGGAGAGACAATGAATAAGTTGAACCTCGTTAAGAGTTAACCGTGAGTTGTGGAACTGGGCCTTAATGACGGAGCAAAACGGAATGTGGGTTTTGACGAATAAATTATAATTTTCATATATTTTCTTGATCTAGGTATAATATATAAAAAAATACAGCTTTTAATTGCATTCAGCTCAGTAATAAAACATCAATCTCATTATAATTGCAGAAGTATGTCAATATCTAGTACAATATATAGTTTCAATTTTAAGAAATTTTGTAGGTATTCAATTCGCGATTGTACTATATTAAATCCAACAAGGACGTAACGCAAGAATCGATCATCTCAAACTATTTAAAGAGTAAACAGTGAGAATTTACTGGACTGTTTCGCCTTCTGAACGCATTGTCAACTTTATACGTCAGTGCTGCTGTGTCTGACAGTATTCAAATGTATCTCATGGAAAAATTATAATTACTGGAAAATTTCCATCTATACATACACATTATATGTCGTCAAAAATTATATTTTTATTCTCATCTTCTTTCATCAATGATTCGTCAATATTAGTAACAGTAGTTATAATTGCTTTCTACCTATCACATTGTCAATTGTGGTTTGTTCTTTACTACTGTGTCTTTACATATGCGAGCCTAAAAAATAAATAATTTTTTATGAAATGTGTTCTTGTATATTACAATTCTCTACTAAAATATGATTACGAGTATTGTGTTGGAGAAAAAGTTCTGCGGAATTTTGTTAAATCAAAATTATGTACAGAATATATTAGTTGCAAAATTTTCGACTATCTGGCGTGAAAGCTTAAAGTTTTTCAAAAAAATGTACGTTTTCAAAAAATGTTAAAACGACTTTTTGTTACCAAGTCACACATGGATTAAATAAAAGGACATTCTGATTTGGATTGCTCATAACTCACCGGTAAAAATCATCGTACTGCAATTAATAAAACAGATTTTTAAAGCTGAAACGTTTCTCCATGAAGCGGTGTAATTGTCAATTTAAAAAAAAAAAAAATATATGTACATTTGAGTTCAAAATGTGATACTACTCTCTTTTTTTCATTGTGCAATGGGTATATGGGGGGGGGGGGGGGGGATAATAGTATCACATTTTTAACTCAAATGTACCTGAATTCTATTTTTTAAATTGATAATTATACCACTTGATGGAGCAACATTGCAGCTTTACGAATCTGTTGTATTAATTGCGTTATGATGATTTTTATTGTAGTTATGAGCAATCAAATTCAGAATGCTCCTTTTTACTAAATTCGCGAATAACTCAAGAACAAAAAATCGTAGAAATATTTTTTTTAACTATTTTGAAAAAATTCCAAATTTTCATCATATAGATAACCGACAATTTTTGCAAATTTTTTTGGCACGTGACAGTCCCTTGAAGTGAGGAAATAAATTTCCCTTTCTTTCATCTCATAGCTTTCTATATATAAAAATGACAAACCCACATAAATTTAAAACATACAGTAATCGTTCGAAAGTAGAGATTTCAAACTTTGAAACCGTTTTTAAATTTTAACTTTCATCATTTTTAACGAAACTATTGTATTTCCAATTTGTGCTAATAAAGTACCGCAGAATTTTTCTTTCAATCCAATATATATCACAAATAAGAAGACAAATGAGAATTTATTAATGGATTTAAACGTTTTCTCATGAATGACCTGATTTAACATATGTGTAATAACATCATCTTTTCGCGGGAAGCTCTTGTCACACACCAAACATTCATACTACTTTTAATCGCCATGGACAAATTTATGAACGTTTAAGTTATCATTGGAAGTAAAAGTTATGCCGCAAACATAAAATCCAGCATATTTATATGTACAGAAAAGTAAAAATAAAAGAACAACCAAATGAGAAATAATTGAACAGAACACTAACGATAATTTGAAGGTACATACATTCCTCGCAAAGATGTAGTTTCCCATCTCTATATATTTTTGTATGAGTAATATGGAATGGAAAATAGATAAATGTAGTTGGGTATTCGTTACATTTATACGGTTCTTTCACCGTTGTGCTTCACGTTTATATGATGACGCAAACTTTGTTTTGTTGCATAACAGTTCTCACATTGGGCACACTTGTAAAGTTTTTCATTGTTATGTATCTCTCTCTTGTGCCTGGCTAGATTCGATTGATGACTAAAAAATAAACGTAACAATATTAAACATTTGTTACCAATTTAATTAAGCATAGAGATTGCATTATGAAATAATTCTTCTGATTTTTGTTACTCACTTAAATGATTTATCACAAAATTTGCATTGATATGGTTTTTCACCTGTATGAATTTTTTCATGCTCATGCAAATTTTTTTTTCTCTTAAATGCTTTACCACACACTCCGCATATGTGAGATTTCACTTCGATATGTACCTTCTTGTGCTCGTTTAGATTTGATTTTTGACTAAAAAATGATCGTTGCAATATTAATCGTTTGTTACCAATTAAATTAAACACAGAGATTGCATTATTAATTAATTCTTCTGATTTTTGTTACTCACTTAAATGATTTGTCACAAAATTCGCATCGATATGGTTTTTCACCGGTATGAATTATTTCATGCTGATGCAAATTTTTTTTTCTCTTAAATGTTTTACCACACACTCCGCATTTGTGAGATTTCACTTCGGTATGTACCATCCTGTGCGAGATTAGATTGCATTCTTCACTAATAAATGATGGTTACAATATTAATCATTTGTTACCAATTAAATTAAGCATAGAGATTGCGTTATGAAATAATTCTTCTGATTTTTGTTACTCACTTAAATAATTTATCACAAAATTCGAGTTATGAAATAATTCTTCTGCTTTTTGTTACTCACTTAAACAATTTATCACAAAATTCGCATTGATATGGTTTTTCACTTGTATGAATTTTTTCATGCTTATGCAAATCACTTTTGAACTTAAATGTTTTGTCACACACTCCGCATATGTGAGGTTTTACGTCAGTATATACATCTCTATTATTTTGTCGTAAAGCTTCAGAGGGGGTAGCTTTGAAGATGATTATTATAAAACAAATATAAGAATGGTAACATAAAACAAATAATTGTTGAAATAAAGTTATCAAAAACACTAAAAATATTAATTATGAACTGTATATATCTTACCATACGGTTGAAGCACATATTCTGTTGTGTCACTATGTGTTGAATCATTTGAAATCCGTTGCGGATGAGATTCCATTTTTTTGAACTTTAAAATTCTTTGAGGTATTGGATGGAGTTCGGAAAGGGTAAACCCCCGATTTTCTTGTCGCTTGACTTACTATATTTTGATATGCTGATTACGAATATAATAATGAAATTTGACGGAGAGAATTTTTCGTTATTTTTTTCCGCAAAATTCATTAGAAATTTCATCATGTTTGGTAATAAGCTTGAGACAACTTGACAGTAATGAAATATTATCAGTAACGATAGATTTTTTGAAATATACAAGAGACTTTTTATAAATGATGTAGTAAAAATTATAATGCAGATTGTAAAATGTATTGAAATGAGTAAGCTCTAGTGTAGCTAGAGACACACTCGACAACGGAAATAACCAATAAATATTGATTACAGTCGATCAATTACTATGTTACATGGTAAAATTATAAGCGACTAAATCAGCGATTAAAAATATCACCATGTATTGTAAAAATTGTATAAGCTATTTTATATATTCATGACTACTTAGTATTCTTTTAAAACAATAAAGAATCATAAACTGCGTAACATATTTTGAAATGTTGTAATTATACCCTTTAGTAAAATTAATAAATTATATTACATATCTTATTATGACACATACTAGTAAATTAAAGAAACTCGTATACAATTCTTTGAAATACTATGTTGTCCCACTATTATCATGATTTTCAGGCTAAATTCTAAGAAAAAATTCTCTCTGTGTATCGCCGGCATTCGCGTTATGCACATCTCGAGGAGGTTACACGGTTAAGCCTGCGGCACACGATGCTTGTTTTCCTGCTGCATTGCTAGCTGAATTAGAATCTTATCATCGTATTGGCTGTGATACTGGGCACTGACAGCATCGCAGCCAATACGGTGGCAAGATTCTAACTCAGCTAACAATCCAGCAGGAAAATAAGCATCGTGCGCCGCTGGCTTTAGAGTTTGCACACATGTTGGCTGCGTTCGTGCAGTGCGTTATCAACGCTATTTGTGTCATATTATCCTTATTTCACGTTTAATGGGTGACGAAGATAGAATGACACAAATAGCGCTAATTGCGTCTCTCCGAACCTAGCCGTTGTGTGCGCGCGCGCGCCTGCGTGTAGATGTGTGTGCGCGCGCGCGCGTGTGTGTGTGAGTAATAAATAATGTCTCATAATACCACTAACAACATAAATAATTTTCTCAATAGATTCTTTCCATATGGAAGTTATCGTTTATATTTCTGTTAAGAATTTGTTACCTCTTCTACAGCGGGCGCATGTGTATGCTATTTTTGCGATTAATTAAACGAGAAAACTTTGTGAAAATTCACTTTATTTCTGCGAGCGGTTGTGCGTGAGACAAAGAAAATTACAATATGGCGACTATTTTCGGCGGGAATTCTTCCGCAGTGATGGGAGCTGGCAAGAATTCGTCTGCTCTAGGAAACTTTGTGCGCATGCGTAAAATGAGCAGCTCGATTTAGCACCAGTTCCACAACTCACGGTTAACTCTTAACCGAAGTTCAATTTATTTCTCATCTTTTTCCAATTCGAGAATTGGAAAGAGACAATGAATAAGTTGAACCTCGGTTAAGAGTTAACCGTGAGTTGTGGAACTGGGTCTTAATGACGGAGCATTACGGAATGTGGGTTTTGACGAATAAATTATAATTTTTATGTAAAGGATTTTAAAAAAATAATATAATCGGTCAGAGAGGTAGCATTCGCGAAAGCCACTATAATGACGTACAGTATTTAAAAAGTTAAAAGCTGAACAATTCATTACTATAACCTTAATTTAGGAAAAAATTTGAAACGCCTTGTAAAGCGGGACAAAGTGTTAAAATTTGAGATTGTTCCGCCTAATTTCGGACTCCTGTACATCTTATAGCGTTTTCGGCCCGATCGGGTTTGCACCAACTTGGGTTGGATTAATCTTTTCTATTGGTTGATGTCACACGCTCTACCAATAGGAGAGCGCAAAACGTCCTTAATCCAACCCAGGTGCAAACCCGGTCGGGCCGAAAACGCTATTAGTGACCAACCGTCCCAAATATCATACGTGGTATCCCAATGTATACGATAGTTAAGTCCGGATCTACAATAGGTGTTTTATACATTATGCCGTAAGAAATTGATCAATTACAGTCGAATCCGAGAAGAATAAGCGACTGTGATTCGCCCATTTCTTATGGCTTAAGGCTTAAAACCCTATTGTAGATCCGGGGTAAGGCTGCTCATCTTTAGTCCACAAATACAATAGAGTAGTAATGGCTACTGCACACTGGACGCGATGAGCGATGAGCGACGAGCGATATCCAATAAAAACTCTGCTTTTTCTCACGTGACGACGTAAAGCAAAGCTCTCATTGGATATCGCTCGTCGCTCATCGCTCATCGCGTCCAGTGTGCAGTAACCATAAGCCTTAAGCCTTAAGGAATTGATCAATCACAGTTGAATGTGAGAAGAATAATCGACTATGATTGGTTAATTCCTTAAGACTTAAAGCTTACTACTCTATTGTGTTTGCGGACTTACGCATGCGCACACAGTTTCTTATGGCGTGTGTACACGATGCTAGAAATCGTTCCGAGAAGAAAGAATTGACCAATCGCAATGGTCATGTGATCAAATTGTCATGATCAATTTGATCACATGACCATTGCGATTGGTCAATTCTTTCTTCTCGGACCGATTTCTAGCATCGTGTACACACGCCATTAGAGCAGACCAAAGACATAAGGCCTGTTCTTTTTGGTTGAACTTTTGCACCAGTTCATTTTTCTTTCTTTTCTATCCGGCAGGAAAGAAGAGGAAGAAAGATGAACTGGTGCAAAAGTTCAGCCAAAAAGAACAG